AGAATTTATTAGCATCAAATATTACTGAAACTTGGCAGAGCAAATAAAGTGCAGCAAATTTATGAGTAGAAATACTTTTGCTGCATTATGAAGAAAAAAGTGAGGAAAAACTCAATCAAAGGCATGGTTAAGAGAAAGCTGGCAAAATTTTCTGTTTCATCATGATTTTTACGATTATTACATTTATTACTTTTTTTTCTTGCGGCAAGAATGCGAAATTTACGAGCGTTCAAGTAAATTTTAATGCGCTGTAAACGCTGCAAAGATCCAGAAAACGAAGAAAAATGTGCGATAAAAACATGAAAAGAAAATTTTCATGTTCCTAAATGCGATATTTGGCCTGTTCATATACCCTCGAGAGAAAGAGAGAGGGAGAAAGACAGAGACTGTTATATAAATCAGCAGTGAGAATTTTGTGGCATAAAGTTAAAAATTGTTCCGAAAAAGAAGAAGAAGAAGCCGTCAAGAGACCCTCTGCTAAGCAAACGGTCAAGCTGCTCCGAAATTTGTAGAAAATATGTCAAAAATATGCAAATGCGACTCGAAATGCCTTTCGCCATGCTACACGATGTGTGAGATTGCTGTTGCTCTCTCTGTTGCCGTTGCTGTTGGGAAAGCATCTCTTAGGGTCTAAGAATTTGTCGTACCATTTAAATGCAAATTAATGGTCAGTTAAACTGTCAGACTCGTCCATCGAGCATCGTCCGTCGTCCGTCGTCCATCGTCCTCGTCTCGTCTCGCCCTTTTGGTGGTGGCATTTCCAGCAGTCCGTCAGAGGCTGTTGGTGTTAATTTGCTGTTAAATCTGGCTGGCGAGCAGCTGTAATTAATTGCCTGTGTTTAATTTGGGTTAATTTTATTTATGGCCGCTCGTCATTTGCATTCTTGAACTGACCCAGCAGCCAGCAGCCACAGTTAGGATTCACTCAGCCGCAGTGCCAGCAAATGCAATCATAAAGTGTCAGGCCGCAGGTTCAGCAGCTGCGTCTCAGCATCCCTCCCCACCCGCCTCTCCTGACCCACAGCCGGTTCCCATTTTGCTGGAGTCTTTTGTAGCTCGGAACAGTTGCATGTGACGCAGCAACTGACAGGACACTTTTGACAGCACAGACAGCAAGGACTAAGCTTCTGCTAATGTCAACAGCAAACAGTGAAAACTGAACAAGAGAAAAAGTTGAAAAAACAACAAAACAAATGGAAGAAGTCTGATTGAGCTCTGGATGAAGCTCGAATGCTCTATAAAGGCTGAAGCTATTGAAGTGAGATAAGTAGAACCCAAAGTTGTATATGATTTAAAGCTACATGAATATTATATAAAATAGTATAGATAAAATCTATTATATATTAATGAATATAAGAAAGTTAGAACTTTAGTGTAGATTAGATAAATAGTTAATAAAGATCTCTATATATTTCTAAAACTATGAGAATGAAAAATAATAAATCAAATTAATTGATAAATTATCTATACTTTATATGTGAATGAATTTAATGAAGGTATAATATGTGTATGTGTAGTTGTATACAAGAGAGAACTCTATTGAAAACTGGCTTTTCATATAAATAATTCTCCAAAAGTGAATTTAAAAAAAAAAAAACTTATCTAAATTAAAACCAATAATCGTATCAATAAATTTTAATAATAATAATTATAAAGATAATAAATTTTATTAAATATGACAAATACTCTATAAGGAAAAGCACATATAAAAGCATATATATGTATATATTTACGCTATACATAAACTTATAAATATATACATATACATATATAATACACACATAATATTAAATGACAAATATTTATGTTCCGCTGAATAAACTCTCATATTCCTTGATGGCCTCTGCAAATCTCACGGCCCATTCAATTCATCCTTCGGCTTATAGAGCACAATGGAGAAGAAAAGAGAGGGAGAGAGAGAGAGAGAGAAATGTGGAAACAAAAGACAGCAAGAAGCAACAGTGACTGTCACAGTGGCTCTGGCAGCTCTCTGACACTGACAGTTGTCAACTGCTGTTGTTTCTTGGTTTATTCTTTTGGTAATCCGCTCTATTCTCTTGCCCGTGGGACGCATTGCCTGGCTCTGCTGCTCCTGCTTCTGCTTGCGCTGCTGCTGCTGCTGCTGCTGTTTTTGATGGGTTTTTTTTGTCATATTTTTAGAAATTGCTATCTTGATTTTTCATTAATGCGCGCATTGTTTTCGCCGCATCCTGCTCACTGACATTTGACATTTGCAGTATTATTGCTGATTGCTCCAATAGAAGGAATATAAATTGATGAAATTATATGAAAATTAACAATATTCAGGTATTCTAAAATAATTTAGAAAGTTTGGTTTTCATATATTTATTTTAAGTAAATAATAAAAACCTAGAATATTTAATGGGATCTTCCACGCCCACTGCCACTTCTATAAAAACTAAAAATATATGTATCCTTTCTATAAATTCAGTATAAAATAATATCAATTCCTGAATAGGATCAATTATTAACTTTCTTAATTGGACACATAGAGCTTCAGTATATCCCATTTGGCATCCGGCTGTGCCCAGTCATTTTGTTATTTCAATCTACGCGTACGATAAGCATCAACCATTTTAGAGTGATGATGAATGCTCAGCGGAGCTCGAGCCACCACAAAATTAAAGTCTTTTGCATAATGATGAAGGAAAGCTAATGGCCCCACATCTGGAAACATGGCCACCATAATACTTTGTATGTAAATTTCGCAAATAAAACAATTTCTTTAATGAGCCACAGGCACTCCAGAAGCAGAAGCGGGACCTTAACTATCACATAAAGTAACAAAATGAATTAGGCCCCGGTCTGACGGGCCCCTATCGGCGATACCTTCACATGCTTCCATTCCCGTCCATGGCCAGAGACAGCGCGGAAGTAATTGAGTTAAATATGCACAAGATGACAGCATTAATTATGAGCAGCGCGAAGGGAAGATGAAAAGAGTTAAATGTGGTTTTCACTTGTGGCAAGCGGAGCCAACGTTGAGCAGACTTCGACTTCGACTTCGACTTCCACTGCGACTGCGACTGCGACTGCAGACGAGCAGCCGGTCCAATAAAAGGCTTATAAATAAGTCAGCAGATCGCCATATATCCGCTTCATGGGAACCGGCAACTGGCTGGCCCGCACTTGAGTCGGAGCCATATAAGGGTTGTGCGATGCGATAAGTACCCCAAGACGAACGCAACAAATTTGATAATGAACTATGAAATTTAGATAATGAAAAATGTCTACCCCACTGGCATTGTTTGGCTCCGGCTCTGACATCTGACAGCCACCAAAAATTTATTTGCTGTCATAAAAATTAAAATAACAATTATTGTCATTTACCTAAAGAGCAAACGGCGCTGCGCAACGGCGAAACGGCGAAACTGCTAAGCGAACATCTCTCCCCTCTTCCGAAAGTGCCTTGCATCAGCTCAGCAAATAGCCAAGGAAACATATTTCATCTTTCAGCTGTCAGAAACTGCCATCAAGATGCAAATCGTGCAAATGAATGAACATAATTTAGACATTCAGAGTCTTTGTACATTATTTATTTTTTAATTTGCTGGCATTTCTTGTGAATAATGTAATAGAGCTGAAACATTTTTGATATATATTTTTTTTTATTTGAATGGATATATATAATATATGTGGAACACACATTTATTTGCACGACTTTGAGATTTTAGAATGAGTTCAGAGTAAAGATATGTGCACATAAAATAAATATTATTTATTTATATTGTATTCCGGCT